GACACTCATGGTGTTCGACGAATACGGCCACAGGTTTCCCCGTGCACGTAGGGCTTCGAGGCATGGAAACTCGCCATGCCTGCTGCTTTTGACCAGTCGTCCCCGAAAACCCCGCTAAATTCATTGAATCTTGTTTATCCTTAAATTCTCATTCCATGCTCCGAAATGCCGCAATTGGCCAGTTCTATCCGTAACACTGATCACTGGTCCTTCAAAACATATATACTACAGACAATATACTTGTTGGAGTGGTAAGGGCATTTCTGGAAATATCCACGTGCCTGTGTTGACAGAGAGGGGGCGATCGCGTCCAGCAGCGCCGCTCAAGCCGATCGAGGAGTTGGTTAGTTCGGTATAGCGTTTTGTATTGCGTAACAGGTTATGGGCCCAGCACGCTTCCACTGCGCAAAGGGAATGCAGGCACATCAAATGGATGTCGAAACCGCTTACATACAAGGAGACTTGACGGAGGAAATTTATATGGAGCAACCACAAATGTTTGTAAACGTGGATGAAAAAGAAAAGGTCTGTAAACTGAATAAACCGCTATACGGGCTTAAACAAGCGGGACGTGAATGGTATCACAAATTAGATAGCTATTTAACGAGCTTAAATTTTAAGAAAACAGCAGTTAATCCATGTGTGTATGTTGATGCAAGAAAGAGTAGCGATACCATAATTGTAGTGTATGTTGATGATTTATTGATTGCGTCCACTAGTTTAGTTAATATAAATATCGTAAAGAGTGCATTAAAAGAAAAATTTAAAATAAGAGATTTAGGTTGTGTTAAGGATATTTTAGGTATGCACATAGATCGTGACGGAACAGGAGACATCAAAATAAGCCAGAAAATGTATGTCCAAGACATGTTAAAGAGATATGGAATGGAAGAGTATAATCCGCAAAATACGCCTATGGAAGCAAATTTAGACATAGCAAGAATGAAAGATGAGTCAAATACTAAACAGGTATTAAATAAGCCATATAGAGAACTAGTGGGATCTCTAAACTATTTAGCGTGTGCAACCAGGCCTGACATCGCGTTTGCAACCAATGTACTTAGTAGATTTTGTAACAACCCTCAAGAAATGCATTGGAAAATGGCCAAACGAGTATTAAGATATTTAAAGGCTACTATAGATTATGGTATAAGGTATCAAAAAGGAAACGAGGACTTAACAGCGTTTGTTGATTCTGATTGGGCTGGTGACACATCGGACAGAAAGTCATGTACGGGTTATGTAGTAAAATTAGCAGGAGGTCCAATTAGTTGGTTAACTAGAAAACAAAAATCTGTTGCGCTCTCTACGATGGAGGCAGAGTATATGGCACTATCGGAAGTAACTAAAGAAGTTGTATATTTGCGAAATTTGTTAGTATATTGCGACAATCAAAGTGCTATTCAGTTATCGAAGAACAGTGTATACCATTCTCGCAGTAAACACATAGACATTAGATATCATTTTTCGCGAGAAGCGCGAGAACAAGGCGAAATAGATGTTAATTTTCTGAGTACTAATGAAATGCCGGCGGATGTGCTAACTAAATCGCTCACAAATGAAAGGCACAAGTCTTGCGTTAAATTATTAAATTTGTTACTTTAAGTAGAAGAAGCAACGAATACTCCGGCATGCAGATAAGGGGGAGTGTTGGAATGGTAAGGGCATTTCTGGAAATATCTGCGTGCCTGTGTTGACAGAGAGGGGGCGATCGCGTCCAGCAGCGCCGCTCAAGCCGATCGAGGAGTTGGTTAGTTCGGTATAGCGTTTTGTATTGCGTAACAATACTTTATGTACGTATACAGCAAATAGCAAATCTGATTTCCATAGGAAAAATATGACAATCAAGGATAAACAAGGCTCTTATTCGTTGTTTTTTAGGGACTTTCACAGATTTGAAAATTTTGAGATAAGTTCAGGATTTGGAAACCTTTAAATTTGGAGTTTTTGTGAAAAGTCTATGCATATGGATTTTTTGATCCAGAAACGTGAGAATATAGGAATTTGAAAATATTAGTATATACATTTCGGAATTTTGGGACATAAGTATTTAAGAATCTTGAAATTTGGGGATCTACAAATATGGAAATCTAGGAATTTGGGAATTTGAGTATTTAGGGAATCTATGGATTAGGGATCTAGGAATTTATGAATTTGGCAATTTGGGATTTAGAGATTTGAAAACTTAGGAATCTGTGGATGTAAGAATTTGAAGACGTTAGCGTGTTTGAATCTTTTGGATACAAGGATATAGAGACATGAAAAATTAGAGATTTTGCATCTAGAAATTTAAGAATCTAAGAATTTGGAGTTTTAGGAATTTGGGTTTGAGAAGTTTGAAAATCTGAAAATTTAAGAATTGTTAAGTTTAAGGAAGCCTACATTGTACACGAGTGTACATTCTGGTACAATATAGGCTTTCTTTGGCTAACTAAATATAATAGGAATAAGTGCAGAGGAAAAAGCCCCATCCGAATTTCTAAATTTCTAAATTTGGAAATTTCAGTGTACACAGTTGATTTCCAATAATATTAGATTTTCCTTGATATAAGAGAAAGCGTAGAAGTTAGGTTGAAGTTTTATGTAAACTTTCCCCAAGATTTTGTCAAAATCGAAGTCTAAGAGGTGCTTGACTCTCCTCTATACTTATTCTTAATCAAAAGAAGCTCATGTTGCATCAAATGTTATAATATTTAGCACTTTAGCTTTCTCTCGGAAAAAGAAGACTACAGGAGGATTTATCACTCACAAGGGACCATCCCGAAGTGATAATCTCCGATTTTGATGAAACTTGGATATAATGTAGTTCTCGAAAAAATATTCGACACGTATTTTTTTTTAGCTGCTATCATTCATGTTAAGGGGGTGAAAATAGCCCTCGAAGTTGGGGGTTGAAACCATATTTTTGGGAATATCTCCGGAACTAAAGAAGATAATTGAATTCTTTTTTTTTGTAAATTGTTCGTCTTTAGATAGGAAATGTTTGTGCGAAAAAAAATTTCAAGAAACTTTATTTGTTTAAATAATATTTAAAAAATTTATCATTTTTGTTTAAATTTTTGCACTAAATCTATTGATCTTTGTTTGCAACTTCGTGTACGTAAACTATAGACAAAAATAGAGGATACGTGTTTTTGGAATTTATTGTTTGTTGCAATGTTTGTTAGATATATAATTTAAAGTCACCTCGTGTGAAAAGGGGTAATCAGCATTTTTA